AACCCATCAATGTGATCCTGACTCTTGCTTTTGAGGTTCCCTATTGTTTCAGAGGAAGAATTTCAATTTGAAAATTGCCATGGCTTATCGGTCGGCCAATTCGAAAAGAAACAGGGCAAACCTTTTTCGGCAACCTAAGGGTGGAATGTTCAGAAGAGGTCATGAGTAAGTAGAGGGTACATCATTGATTGATTTCTCCCAGGGAAAATAAAGTTAGAGCTAGTTGTCGGTTTGGTCAATTTTTGTCGGCTGGACCTCCCATTTCGCAGGCCTAAAATTTGAAAACCATGGAACATAGATGGAAGAAGAACACAGCATTTGTAGAGCAGACAATTCTCTTTCGAATGGTATATGAATCGATGTAAAAGCATGGGGATTTAGATGAAAATTTTTGGTTGAAAAAAAGCGACACTATTTATGAGACAACCTAATGCAATTCAGTGCTTTTCCACTTCATCATCGGACTAGAGGTACAAATCAACTGATCCCACAGCGATAGGAGGGTTGGTTGGCTTGGGCAGGATGTGTTTCAGATTCTAGCACCATGTCGTGTTCGTGGTGGTACGCGAGACCAATTACCATTGCGTCAACATTCTCGACACTTTCACTTTCACTGCTGCTCAATGGTGCGCAACTTTTTCTGCATCTGTTTCCTGTAACACCGGAGATCTAAGAAGCTGTGTGGCACCCTAACATTATGAAGTCCGCAGATTGTGCGTGCTTGAACAAGTGACCTAACATGGCCTTCCCTCTGGCGTAATTGGACCGGAACGCCCACAGCTAAATAATCACTCGCCGCAGTCTATACGTGGCGAGTGATTAGATAGCAGAGAGAGCGTAGTGTTGAAGAGGGCACAGCGATGAGAGTCGCATCAATGCGCAAATCAACGGGCAAGGAAGGGGTCCATTTCTCGGGTTCCGGGCCGTTTCACATGGTTTCTTCTTCATCCTTGCTTCAGTCTCTACCCTTATTTCCAATAAGCGACCTCATCGGTAAATCCGCTTTTGAGAGTTGACCCTGTGAAATGTAATTTGCGAAATTCGCCAATTTCTACGAAATAAATATACAGAGGGTTATTGCTTCATTGCATCATCTTTCTAGAACGGAGTCGGCCTTGAATAGTCGCGACCACTAACGAAATTGTAGATCATTTGCAGAGCTTCTCGCGGCTTGTCGCCCGGCACGAAATGGCCGCTACCTCGTACAGTTAGGAAGTCGAGTCCTAAGAGAGTGGCTAAAGAAATTTGAAAAAGTAAAAGTAAGAGAATAGTAACGTTGGAGAAAGTAAGCATATTAATGACAAACCTCCTTCATACTTGACTTGGAAACCAGCCACAGTTGGATTTTCGCCCAGGTAGTGCCAAGGCTCGTTCACTCTCTCCTTACCCTAGAATGTATATGTAGCTCCTATTAAAACCAATCGTATTGAGAAGTGAAATGCTTACAACAATGCTACGATTGAGTTTCGTGAGAAATTGTCGGTTCATTACATGACTGCACACGGTGTCGACATCTCCATTGTAGATCAGAACCTACATAATCACATTATGAATGGTAAGTTGATTCTACAGGTCCGTTTGCCATATAAGCTTGGCACGGACTGCAAAATCATTTGGAATTTACTGGTCATACGTGGGATGAGTGTAGCTCCTGCTACACCTTCCAAACATAGCCATACGTCCTGATAAGGCGCTCGAAACGAGCACAAGACACGTTTGCGACCAAAGCGGCAGAAGAGGGAGAGAAGGAGGAAGTAGAAGAGAATGTCCAACATAAATCAGAAAATTGATTGGTTGTGATTGGATGATGATGGTGTGATTTATTTCGCAGAATGACACAGATATGGAGGGAAACTTAACAAGATTGAAAGGATAATTTATGGATAAGATGGAGAGAGCCGAGCTGCGAGACCCCTTCTACAAGAAAGAAGTGCATTGAAGAAAATCACAATTCGATTCCATATAGCCATGAATTGTTGTATTCGATGGAGATGAACAGGATACAGAGAAGGCCAGGCACATTTTCAAATGAGTGTTACCCTCCTAGTTCACTAATACGTTGGGTACTCACAAACAAAACTGATCGGAAATTTCTGAAGGAAGCAGTTAAAATTAATGCTTTTGTTGGGGATATCTCAAAAAAAATGCTAGTAAACCACCACCCTTGGTTTTTGCATGTACGGAGTGGGGTTCAGAATGTTTACCGTGAAAATCCCAACGACGAGAGGAGAGGTTCTATTTCAAAAATGAACACGAAATGAGGTAAGAAGAGAATGTGGAAAGAAAGTTCTCTGGAAAGTCGGAGATTTCGAGCGAAAAGTTGGCAATTCTAAAATTTTGGGATTTAGGCCGTTCTACGTGTAGGTTACCCTAGGCCTGCACGACGCTCTAGCATGGGTTTTGGAGATGAGACATTTTAGAGATGGAAGGTAGGATGGAGACAGGATCACTAGTAATTAAAAGAAAGAGATCGGCCAGCCTCGAACTAGTCTACCGTCGCTGTCGTATTGACTTTGGGCGTCCAGCGCCGAGACTTATCACGAATAGTTAAAGCTAGGAATGAATCTTCCAATGTACCTTCACGCCAGCTGAGATGATTTCCTCGATTTCGGGCGTCATATCATAATGAGTCACCACGTAGCTGTCCTCCACAGCAATGCTGAAACCACAGACGTTTGAAGATAATCGTGTGATTACCAGATGTACAAAGTTACGGACATAGATTCCAGCTTCCACGGAAGAACAAGCTTTGAAACCCTTTTAAAACCCTTCAAAATCCTGAGGACTTCGCAGATGGATCAGATAGCTGGGCTGTGCCAATGGAAGCATGGAACGAAATACGTGGTGAGCGGCCACGATCACACATACAGTGCGCTTGATAATTATTATATAAGTTCACCCCCGAACTTTGCACTTCCTGGAAAAGCGTTGTTTAGAAATTTACCTAACACCATCGACGGATTCCCCAGCACGAATAACCCACGTATCTTATTTTTGGCACTTTTCTGAACTTTTTTTTATTAAAGGTTTGTTGGTTTTTGAACCGTTTCACAGTTATAAGCTTACCCTGAGAAAGTTAACCACGTCTGTCAACAAGGAAATTTGCCGTCCACGTGAGTCCCACAGCAAAAGATTGGCCGCTTCCCAAAATATAAGCTGTGACCAGCCTGCAGTCCGGATATATTAGGTTGGCAAGATTGAAATGTCGCTTCCGTTTGTGCCTTTGTTTCTCAGCTTAAACACAATCTCTTAGGATGGGAGACCATTCATTCGAGAGAGCGATTCAGCACGCATATTGCGAAATCTTAGGCGCCACTGAGCGGATGTTCTTCGAGCCAAAACTTTTGCTCGAAGATGACTGATCAGAAAACATCGTCTGAGCGTATATATTCAAGCAAGGAAAAACGGCCAACGAATCTCACTCATTGTGTGCAAAACATTGAGCAGTAACACTTAGTCTCTGATGCACTTTCAGCTATGGTTTCAGCTCTTCCAAGACTGAGGTAAAGGACCTGAGGACGAAGATCGTGGATTTTGACCTCTAGCTCTAGATGACGGAGAAATAAAGAAAGCCAACGAATTGAGTCCTCGACAAACCGCACAAAACTTGCATGGAGATTCAGTTGTGTCAACAGAAAAAAATTTTCAGGATAGAAAATGGGTTCAGTCTATTCTGAGCGACGCGAGACTGCAACTTCGCTCCTTAACTTAAGAGGAAAAAGGTTCTTGACTTCGTGTTGACCGCATTTTACAAAGAGATGTTTCCCAATAACAACGCGAGAAGATGACCGTGGTTGGCGGCTGATGGGCAGCTGAGGGCCTCTCTGAAACCGGACATCCACTGAGAAAAAGTCGTGCTACGGTGTGGTGGAACAGTATAAGACTGGCCTACTATGGAGAGCTGATTGTGGGTCAGACAGTTACAGCTGAAGCCTGCGCACAACAGCCCGCGTGGACCGAGCTCTGCGTCGTCAAGGGGTGAATTCGGCCAATGTAAAACTATTGCACCATAACGGAAGACCACATGTCGTGAAAATCACGCAACAAGAAATCGAGGAGTTGGGCTGGGACGCTCTACCTCCAGCGCCATATAGCCCAGGTCTGGCGCCGTCCGACTATCACTGACCCAGGTCAGCGCAACACTCCTTAGCAGCAAACCAATTCGATAACCGCGACGACGTCAAAATTTGAGTGCCCAACTTCTTCGAGTCGAACCAGAAAGAGGCATCCATGCTTTGCGTAACGAAAGGTGATGAGCCTGTGACACAGGTGAAGAGATGGTTGGTTTGGTTGCTTCATTATTGTTTTTATAATGAAAATAATTGGAGATCGAAAACGAAATTTCAATCTGGCCAACCTAATACATCCGATGGAAAACGTCTAGGGCATCATCGCCAAAAAGGCTTAGGCCTACTATACTTCAACAACTGATTGATCTGATAATTTGGGTCTCACCATCAGAGATCTCGTTGAGCCTCAAAGTTCCGAAAAATTGATAGCCTGTATTGGTTTCATGCTAAGGCAAGAGGAATGGAATGGAGTACGGTACGCGGACGGGTTGCCAGGCCATAGAAGGATGTGGCAACTACGGCCTGTGCGCTCCAATGCCAATGGGCCATATGACGCGCACGCCCTCTTGAAGGCAAAGTTCGGGCTCAGACCCACCTAAGAAGCCCTTACCATGGCTAGAAGTGCTGGGTACGCAAGTGCAAAGGTAGCGCCACCTTTCTACATCGAAACGCGTCACTAGGACCCTAGGCGCCATGGACTTCTAACAGACTCCACCAAACTTAACATGGTCCGCCCACCGTTCGATATCTTGTCTGCGTCGCCACGTTGATCTGCTATGCTCTCTCTTCTCGGACTTCTCTACCACTCTCCGCGCTCACATTATCTCTCATCTCCCTGCCTGTCTTTTGAACTTCTCCACAGCATGGAGCAAAATGCTCGTATTTCCTGTGTATTTCAGGATTTTCTTTCCTTTTTTCTCCACTGGCGGTCCACCTCCCACCCCTACTTTCACATTTGAGTGGAATCACCCATCAATATAATCCTGATTCTTGCCTTTAATCAATGGATCAGGCGCTGGTGCTCGGTATCTGAGTTTCAAAATTGCCGCGTGTCAAGAGAAGTCCATTCCAATCTGCTCTCTACATATGACCCATCCCAGCCGGCCATCCCAACAGCACCCCTTACGTGCCCAGCTACATAACCTGCACCTCTTTGTAGGGATACACACTGCGCTCAGCAGCTCTTGGTTATTTTCCGCTGCGAATTCTTTTCTCTCTCGCTGGACCACTGTGGTAGATACGATACCGTGATCATATCCAAACAGTCCATGACCACACGAATGCAACGAATCCATGCCTGCTCACTTCCCATCTGTTCAACACCCCATACAAGTCAACGTACACTCAAGCAATCTACCACATAGCACGACAGTGCCACTAATACTTCTTGTTTCGTATTTTTTTGTATGTTGTTTCTTACTATGGCTAATTCAAAGGAGGAGTTCACAATAAGAACGAAGGTCAAAAGGGAAAATTGCATAGTTGGGAGACAGGCGGACCTCCTGAGGGTGCTGACCGACGCGCAATTGGCAGCGAAAGATTTGACCTCGGCGATCTAGCATGGCTCACTCTTGGCGCGGTTGGCGGGGTACGCCCACCGACTATCTAATCACTCGCCGCAGGTCTATACGTGGCGAGTGATTAGATAGCAGAGAGAGCGTAGTGTTGAAGAGGGCACAGCGATGAGAGTCGCATCAATGCGCAAATCAACGGGCAAGGAAGGGGTCCCATTTCTCGGGTTTCGGGCCGTTTCAATGGTTTCTTCTTCATCCCTGCTCCACTGACCACCTCTACCCTTATTTCCAATGAGCTAAGTTTTCATCGTGAATTCTGTCTCTGATTACTGGTTTATTGAACAACTTGCTCATTAGCACTGGAACCAAAACAAGTGCATTCAGATATTTGATTATGCAAATAATATTGATGTCGTCTTGGAGACAGAAAGATAAAATCAAGACTTAGACGCGGACAAGTTTGTGATCTTCTGCCATTAATTTTCGGCATCGTGTAGCCATGCCTCTTACCTACAATCCTTCCATCTAGGCAAAGACGTGGGAATGTGCAGGGCTTTACGCACGTCGGCTCGATTCAAATAGTCTTCAGTGTTTCCAATCTGATCACATAAAGGCACAGTCTGGAAATAGCGTCCTTCAGAAGGGACTTCCCATGCCAACATCAACTCACCGATCGCTGCTGAAGAACTGCTGCTGTTCGAGGGGGTATCCCGACGGCCTTCCTCATGAAGCGCTCAATGTGCGCCTTCTTGCCGACTGTACCCGTTGTGTAGCAGCTACTGTATATGTTGTACGGATCCAGATCGTTCGTAGCATTAAATATCTACAGATAATAAGTACAGGTTAAATACGAGCATGCACCGTTGGCTGGGAACGGGTCTCGCAAGATTATCACCCGCAGCTCGTGACCGAGGGAAGCTAACCAGACAGATTGTCCGCGTGCAGCGTGTATTCACACCACTTACTTCGCGCGCGCGCTACCGTATCCGAGCTCGTATGAAAGTCACGGACACACACTCTCTCTTCCCACTTTCGTTTTCTCTGCGCTCTCTCATGGGGGAGAGAATGCGTCGAGCAACCCCGCTGCGCACACCTATACTAAGGCCCCGGACAATCCTGTCCGGTTAGCTTCCCTCCTCCTGACCTCACGCGTTAGTGTGCTTTGATACTAGGCGCCGTTGCAGACCACGCAAAGGGTGAGAAGAGCGTCCGGTACCCCTCAGGAGGCCCGTCGCGGAACGCGGGTAAATCTTGGGACGATTCCGTCGACGTGAAATAAAACATTTGTCCGCAAGTGCACAAGAACGAGAAAGATGAGCATGTTCGTATTCTGAACAACATTGTGGTACTCATTGGATGACTAGCAATAAATATTGCAAATAATGAGCGCAAATCTGACTGGTATCACAAGCTCATGACCAAATATGTGGAAGGATCCCGTAGTTCGAAGGCACTACGCATGATCCGCTCGGAAATGAAGCCGCCGGCAAATAACTTGGCGATTTATTTGGGAAAGGGATGATACAAAAAACGCCATTTAATTGACCTCCATAGGAGGAGGTTTCCGGGATGTTTAGTGTTGTTTTGTATCTGGTCCCAATTACAGTGTTAATTCCAAGCAGCTATCTGAAAATCATCAGGTGTGGGCCCAAATTTATTCACCGTTTGAGTATCACGACGGTGGCTAAGTTCTACAAATTGTCACGGTTTACTACCATCTCTGATATTTTGTAGCGATGATTACTAGTTCCGTAATAGTATCCAAAATCAATACCCAAAGAATAACCGAGAAAAGAATTGTATGTATTGCTCAGCTTTATTGTTCATTGATTTTTGTGCCAAAAAACGCAAGTTCGTTTGCTGCCAGCGATATGGTTCATCATGGTGCCATCCCACCGTGTAGCGATAAGGAAATTGCTTGTGGTGAAATGTTGTTGGGTTCGGTAAGACTTTTTAGTATACGACACAGCTCTTTTCGCCAGAGTTTAACGGTGATATCTTTAAGCGCTTCAGATCTGCTGAGAAATACCACACATACAGCATTCTGCCCACTCCAGAAAGTAGCGCTCCAAGCGCTTCAACCGAGTAGATAACCATAGCTGGATGTCAGATTGTCATAACAGTCCTTTTGTATGAGGGTACTCTTAGGGTGAATTTAATGTTTAATTTTCTGAGAATGTCATCGTCATCTCAAAGTGAAGGGAAGTACCACTACTTATTTCACCTGTTTGAGTATTCCAACTTGATGTTAGAGTGTCAGACTTAAAGTTAAGTTTTTGCTATTTGGAAGTCCAGTATGCTCGCGTTTGGTCGGTTTTAATTGGTACCACCAGAGCAATATATACATCAGGTAGGTCTTCGAAAACTGCAACTGCCTCTTTGATGCCAAATTGGAGAGAAAAAAGCTTAACCTTAGGTATTGGGGAAGGAGGGTGGAGAGCTTACCATGAGGTTAAAGTACCCGAATGTGAGCCCGCAGTAGTCACGGACTGGTGTTGGGCGAGAGAACGTAGGCTTGGGCGATACTCCGATCCAGTAGTCTCCAATACTCCGATAGTCCGTAGGCCCTTCTGTATGCGTATGCGAAAGTTGCGACACTGATTCTTAATTTGTCGCATTCTCAGTGGTCTTTTCTCAGTGTTTTTTTTTTCAAACTTCGTATGAAATCAACTCATAATTGTCACTGTTTACGTTATCTATCCTAATTGGAATGAGTTAGGGCTGGGAATTTTGGACAATATATTTTAACCCAGAGACACCCACGATTATTTTCATTCGCCCAAACTCGCGCGCATGAGGCTGGTTCCACGAAGTAGAAGGTGTGTTTGCCGGCTTCTTGAAGGTAATGGGTGTTTCTTGCAACTTTTGACGCAGCTGTAGGGGAGGGACTAGGACTTACCCATACAACTAAACAAATTACCTTGCACTCTTAAACTGAAATAATGCCTACCTTAAGACCAAATCTTAACACGTTGACGACAGCGCAGGACACATACGTCCCGTCGGACAGCGCGGGACGTATGTGTCCTGCACCCATCTCAAGCAGTTTTTTCGCGCATCCCTACCTTTTTTCTAGCTTTTTGTATTCAATGATAGGCCATACTTTATCATAACCATGGGCGACGTGGTCCACAGAAAGGTTAGGTGAGCCCATGTTTTGCCAAAGTTTTCCGAAGCCTGCGAAATCTTTAGCTTTCTGTTATTATACGACTTCTGTGTGGGTTGAGTAGGTCAATAAAAAGAATAACAGGCGACTAGATATGGGACTCTATAAATAGTAAAATTTTAGAATTGTTGTAGGGCTTATAGAATTCTTCTGAAGTGGCGCAAAGAAATTCACCATTCGAGGCAAAAGCACTGTTTCGGATTAACTTCATAGTCATCTTAGCAGAAACTGCAAAATAACCTCTCAGATGAAGGAAATCTTGCAAATTCTTTCAAAACTTGCTCATTTTATACAAAATTCTTTTTCAAAGAAGTAATCGACCGTTGAAAGTGTGAAACCGGAAACATTACTATGGCGTTATTCGGACAAATTTTCGCCAGAGGCTATTTTTGAAAGTCCTATGGTAAGTAACTTTGACAAAAGGAATAAAGCATTTGCCGTTGATCAATCCCGTTTTGGGATGCGGCACGCATTCTACTTCCATTTGTACATTCGCAGTGGCATTTGAATGCGATGTGGCCTATACAATGACTTGCGGGGGCCAGCCGATGTTCAAGTCAGTGTTTTTATCCTCCCAGACAAGTCTGGTACCAATTAACCGACCCCGGAGGGATGGAAGGCTTGGTTGGCCCGGGCGACTCACGACCCAGGATTTCGATCCCCGGATTTGATCCGCGACCGCTCTGCGTGGTGAGGCGCGCCACTTGTCAGGCTAAGCACCACTTCGCCGCGCAACTTTGACAAGCATTAATAGGAGCAATTTTCTCATCGTTTACAGCGGTTGTCCCTTCGGCAAGTTTGTTCTTGGAAGGATATGTTGCTCTTCAAATGTGTAAAAACTAGCATGTCTGGAAAATTTCCCTGCGTTTTTAGGGAGAAGTCACATCTCATTATGCAGCTTGAAATTAATGTTTCCTACTAGGCCTCACAAGTGAAATCTGAAGCTGTTCCCCGTTTTGTAGATTGTTGTCAAACCAATCTTCTCGCCGCACAATGTAACCCTGCTTGTTTGAAGCATTGTTGGACCACGTCTGGAATTTTTTTTTGCAATTTCTTCTTCCTCAGATTACGATGTCACGTTGTGCTCTAACCGTCCAGTGTCATTTTCACTCACTCTTTCTAATATTTCATTTTTTCTTAGCTTTTGCTAGCTCACAACAGAAAAAAAAACTCTTGATATCGTTACCAATTCTAATTCCTTTTTTGTCCCAAAAAGCGTTTGTCCACGGTGGGTTTTTGTTGGATAACTTACTTTTCTATGTGTTTATGCTAGATAAATCAACTGACTCGGTTACAGGTCTATTCCATTTTATGCTCCAAAAAACGCACCTTGAGAGACAGCGCAGGACGCATGTGTCCCGCGGCCGCCGCACTGGCAAAATCGCCCCTGTCCATCGCGGCCAAAATGAACCACAACGCGCGTTATCGTCAACGTATTAAACCTGATGACTACTGCAAGACTCCAGCGTGTGGTAGGATGCCTCTAGTGCATTTGCAGAAAGGATGTTTCATTTCACGTCGACGGAATCGTTCCGAGATTTATCCACGTTCCCCGTCGCGCGGCAAGAAAGGCAAAGTCAGCGGACGAGTCGCGCGCGTACTATAGGGATTTCGCGTCAAGTTAAATAGAGTGTCCCATTGCACGTCCTACATCGCACACCACGCGCTGCAACTCGTCCGCCGACTCTGCCTTCTTGCCGCGCGACGGGCCTCCTGGGGGGTACCCAAGAGCGTCAACACGCGCACTGGCGCATGACGCGTACTTGGCGTAGAATGGGTAGCTTCCAATTCGATAATTCCAATTTCAATGCATCCTGTCTACTTTTTGGTGTTTTGTGCGCCGTTCTGCTTTCGTTCGTTTTTCACTCAAAAGTTTTCCTTTTCTGTATGGAATATCGTCGTTGCTCACTGCTGAGCCTATCTAAACACCAAAAATAGGCAGGATGTATTCAAATTGG